AGGAACTCTAACAGAATACTTGTAGAGGGAACCCTGTGGAGTTTGACAGAAACATCAGTGTATTTTTAATGCATTGTATTGAGTTAAAGTAAGCTCAATATTTCCTCTTCTGAACCCCTTTATCAGAGCAATTTTATTTCAACTCTTGACTGGAAGCTGGAGGAAGGCAGGGAAAAATTAAGCCATTGTAACTCCTGACAGTTCTTTTAGTATTTATGGACATCTACGTAAGTTGCTGGGCTGAGCATTTCTCTGTCTGTCTGAGTTAGGAATCAGGAAAAGATCTGTGTTAATGGCATGCTCTTAGGAACTATGGGAACTAATTTTATTTTAGATAAGCTGGGATAGATACCATGCAGCTGCACTTTTGCGAAGGGGCTGAAATAATAGCGGTACTCATTTTCTCATCACCTGTTGATGCAATGGTTCCTGACACCTTCTCTCCTCTGCATTTTATCTCCATGGGTCACCACAGTTCTCTGCTGGTCTCTGGAACAAACGAAGTGGAAAAGACGACAACGAACTCATTGGTGGCAGAGGTCTGAAATCTTAGTGCATTGTATATTTTCTAGATGCTGGATGCTGTCTGTGGAAGACGTGCACTTGCTTCTTTGCATCCTAAATGCTGCACCTTCCCTCCAGCAGAGCTGCCTCACATCGTACATAAGCTGCTGGTTCTTTATCACGGTACAGATGGAAGCAGCAGCAGTGGCTGCTGGTGACGGTCCTACTCTCAGCACGTGCGGCCTTTCTCCCTCATGCCTGTGTGAACCTTCTCTCGCATAGTCGTTGCTCTTTAAAATATCTCCTACTCAAATTTGAAATTGTGTTTTGTGAGCCCAGAGCAGGAAATCCAAGTAATGCTCCAATATTTGGACTAGCTATCTCCTCCACAATATTTCCTGTTTTCCCTTTTTCATGATACATTCTGGGCTCTCTACAAAGCAGTTATTTTCCTCCTCTACACTGATGAGAAGGTTGATATATTCCATCTGGTTGCCTGAGAAGCAAGATTTGGGGATTTTTAAAATTATTATTTTATTTCTGTGTCAGGATAAGAGGACAGTTGGGCATTTCCAGGACTTTCTGCAGGGTCTTTGTCCAATCTCTTGTTAGAGCCCTCTGGGTACCTTCCTGCAGGGCCTGAGCCCAGGTGCAGAACTGGGGGCTGGTAATGGGGTCCAGCAACAGCCCCCAACATGGCAGGTGATGAAGCAAGGCCAGGGGCCATCCAGGGGCCCCACCTGGAGCAAAAGGGGACAAGATCAAAGACACAAGTGGAGCCAAGCTACAACATGCATTCAAGGGGTCCATCCAGGAAGCACGGCTGGAGACCGGCACTCCTGTGGTGCCACCGGGGCAGGGATTGATGAATCCAGGCTGAGTTGAAATGGGGTCCTGGACCATGGGCAGGGGTGGGGGGAGGCCCACGGTGGGGCTGGGCAGGGGCAATAAGGCCTGTTAGTGCTCCCAGGGCTCCTCTCCCATAACTCTGGGTAGCACTGTGGCCGTAACGAGCAACGGGACCCAGTGGCCACAGTCTTGACTTGATAGTGCAAAATCTTGGACTTTATTCTTACCACTGAACACCACCCACTGCATAGTCATGAACATGTTTCTCTTTCTCCATCCATAAAAGGAGAACGACATATCTTATTGGGAAAGTATAGGGCTTAGTTGCTTACTGCAACTTGGCCTAATGAAAATGCTTTCTAAGCACTGTTAATTACTCGTTACGTTATTTGTTGCTGAAGGAATGTAAAACATCTTGAAGGAAACGTTGGCCCTATTGAGAGAGCAAAAAAACTCCTTTGCTTTTCCTAGAACAGAGATTTCGACTCTCATACCAACTGCATATATCAACAGGCAATCACTTCATGCTCTTGTCCTTGATTCTGTGCCCTTGGAAGATGCTACATCAGTAAGTTTTTAGGCACATTAAAATTATGCACTAAAGCATTTTTCAAAATTCAACAGTCACATCACATTCAAAACAAAAGAAACACCCTAACAAATACAATACACCCAACTGTGCACACATTTCTTCTTGGTGAAAGAGGGTGAGCAAATAAACACATGGTGTGTTTCACTTGCACTGCTGGTAGCACGGTTGGAAGGTGCTCAGACATCATTATGAGGATCTCAAGAGAACAACCTGAGAGAACAGAAAAGTAATGCACTAAAGAGCAGTAGAGAAATTCCTACTGACCGCAGCAGACTTCAGAGCAGGCAAACACAATCTGTGCCTTGTGCAGAGACTTAAGGGCAATGCTGACAAACGCATAAGCTGAATTTGGACATATCCATAGGGAGAAAACAGAGTGCCTAGGTCAGCATCTTATGAATCTTCCTGACTATATCTGTACAAAAGATTAAACTTGTATGCCTTTAAAATAGCAACACTATATATGTTTATAGTTTCTGATTGCTTGGTTATTTTGAGTACTCCTCTTAAGTAACATATATTTATGGCTGGCATACGTCCTCTAGCTTTCCACAAAAGGGTATAAAGCAAGAAGTGTATTGCAATATAAAGTAATATATAATGTTAAAAATTAAAAGGATTTGTAGAATATAACTTTGAATCTTGACAGTCATCTGATCTGTCTTCAAAGTCAAGACAGGGCCATCTATGGCTACAGCACTCCCAACACAAAACTGTTCTATAAAAAATGCAGTAATGAAGATTAACCCCCTCCAGACAATCTCTTCTGCTGTCTGCTTGTTCATATTGTTCAGCAAGCTGCATAACCCAAATTTCTTTTTGCTGTAATTTAAATCCGTTACTTTACTTATCTCCCAGTGGATCTGGAGAAAAGTCTATTGCCTCTTCCTTTTCCTTGCATTTCTGCTTATAAAAGACTGGGAGCATCTCCCTCCTCCTTCTCCTCACGAAACTAATTTTTTTTCCCTGTCAGCCAACCACAATTTCCAGATGTCTGATCACCTTCTGTTCTGTTGCAGGATCCTCCCCAGGGTTTTTCTTGGTACATTTTAGGACTTTGAACTGGACCCTTTCCACAGACACCCTGTGGAGGGCGAGAAGGAGGATGACTTGTGCGTCTATTACCCAGGTTTCTGCAGTACTGCCCACCACCATGCAGCTGCAAAGATGAGCTCATGGGATGGCACTGAGTCACGTTCAGTTTATTCACTGTCATACCCAGACCCCTTTCTGAGGAACTGATACTTACTCAGTTATTTCTCCTCTTGTTCTTCTGCAGTTTGTCACAAATGTGATGCTCTATGCTTATTCATACTGACTTGTGCTCTGTTGTCTGAATTCTGCCATAGTTGGTCAATATCTTTTTAATCTTATCTCCTAAAGTGCTTACAGCTTGGCATTGTCTGCAAATTAAAGAAAGATACAAGTCACTCGTGATTTGAAATACCAAATCTTTCAATTATATTGGAAACCCCTAATCAATATATCTTCTGTGCTGGTTGTGAATGCTTGACAGCTATTCTCTCATTACAACTATCCAGCTGTTTGTGCACTCACCTTCCTGCACTTTCAACCAAATTAGGCTTTCCTAGCTCATTCATGAGAACCTCATAATGTCAAAAGGCTTGCTAAGTTGCAAAGATATGATATCTACCGCTTTTCCCCTGTCCACAAGGCCTCTTAGCCTGTCAGAGAAGGAAAATAACATGAATTAATTATGGTTTGTCCTTGGCAAGCCCATGGTGATTGTTGGTTATGACCATACAAATTTGAAGTGCTAATGGGGAGAATGTTTCACTATCTGTTCCTGTGTTTGTTTTCATTTTAAATCTCACAATCTAGCTATAAATTCATTATATGGCCTTCCTGCTTTGTAAAGGAATAAACTGTGCTTGCTCTTTCACCATCTTGTGAACTCAATCTACTTTCAACAGTTTTACAAAGATCATTGCTAGCAGATCTGGTATCAGCTAAACTGGATTGAATTTGCCTATCAAAAAGCATTTATCTTACCCGAGAGGATAATCTCCAGCCTGTTCATGCCTTATTATAGCCTGTGTTCCTACACCTTTTTGTTGCTGTTAGTAACCTGTGATCAGATTAGGATGACTCTGAAGTGAGAACCAAAGCAGTAAAATCCATCTTTTCCAGCATACTCTATTATCAGCTTTCTTTTCTCCATTTCCCTGTTCATCAATTATCTTCCTAGAATAATCTTTTAGGCCGGCTGCGTTATTTCATGCTGAGCAATCTTCTTTTCTGCAATTAGCCCTCTCCAAAGTGATATGAGCATTTTGTTCAGATTTGTTTTAAAATACAGATCTTGGCTACCTCTGCGTTCCTCTCACAGCTGATACTTGACAATCCGCTTCTACTGAATCGCTCAATACTGTATTCTTGCATTTAAGTTACTTATTCCATTTCATAGCCAAGGTCTCAGTGTGCGTGAATGTCTCTCTCTGCCATATGACACAGGAACCTGCGCATCAGCCATTGGGCTCAGATTGCCACCTACTTCTGTCCCTCAAGGCCCTCTGATGTAGCAGCTCATGTGAATCAGCTCATCACTCACGGCCTTTTAAAATTCAGCATCTTCCAGCAAATCAGCTCCTCTTTAATCATCTAGGAATTTCACAGGACCTATCCCCAATTTCAGCCCTGCCATGCTAATAATCCTTGACTATAACACTCATTTGTAATAGTCTTAAAATGATTGGTTTTAATTAATTTTAGTTTTTGCAACAGAACAAACTGAAGTGGATGTACTAACATGTTTTATAATCTGAAAAAGCAATGGTAGCCTGATGGTGTGGCAGAGTTGGAATGAAAAGGGGTAATCCAAGTTTCATCTTCCTGCCGCCATTTGGGGAAGAAATAGGCCCTGTTTACACAAACCCTGAGAAACTAATTGTAGTGTTAGTTAAATACTACAGTTGTACAGTTGGAGAACAGTGTCTGACATAGTTGGCACAGACTGTGGTGGGTGTATCCTGCCCAGAGGTTTTTCATGGATTGCTTTCCCAGCCTGACCCTTTTCCCTTTTTCCTCCCTGTAGATTATCAATTCGGTGGTATTGCTGATTCTGCTGAGCGCCCTGACCGATCCTGACCAGTACCACCTAACCAGTGCTGAATTAGGGGGTGAATTTGAATTTATGGATGATGCCAGTAAGTACAAGCTGCCTAAATAAGTAAAATTCATGGCTCCAGCATCTATGTAACTGTCCCATAGTTTCAGTAATTATTGTTCTTTAATTATTGCTTCACTTTAGTATCTTACAGATGCATTTTTATTGTGAAAAGTGTGTTCATGGCACAGTTCAGACTGGTTACCTATTAGTAACCTTACCTGGTACCTATTAGTAAACCAGCTGCTCTGCTGTGCCCTGGCTTGGCAGGGGCAGAGCCAACCCTGGCATGGAGATGTTATCCCTGAGCATGATGCTGAAAGCCCCAGGGGGATTTTGCAAGACACAGGCAGATACAGAGTCTCTGCACTTCCCAGCACCATGTCCCCTAGTGCCTGCACATGCAGAAGAACTCATGCTGTTATTTCAGTAACTGGCTGAATGCAGTCATTCATGTTGTACATGTGCACACCCCCTCCACGTGCACATGGCATAACTTGCACAAACCTGTTGTAATAGATGCAAGCATACATATTAACTGTATAGTCACAGGCGTATTAGCGATAACGCAGGGCTGCTTCCTTCTCTCTCCAAAGGGCATCATAGAAAATCTTCAATACAGTTTCAGGGAAGGATGAGCCAGGCCATTTATGCCTTCTGCAAAAACCTTCTGCCCTTTGCAAATGTTTCTTTCTTCCATGACTGTATCAAATTATTTGGTGGTATATTTGGTTTGTTGATTTGCTTTAATCGTTTAATTTGTATCTAGAAAAGTTTTCCCTCAGTGTGGTTTTGATAAAAATGTCTGTTTATTTTCATTTCTGCTCACAAGATTGCTGTGTTCAACATTTCTCTCAGTAATCTGAAACAAGGTCTCCTACTAGTTACACTGGTGTCTTGCTGCTCAGAATCACGCCCGTCCACAGCAAAAGGCTCTAAGTCCTTTCCTCATTCCTG